CTTGCACAATTTCTGCTTTGTAGTGAAGATGAGCAACATAATCTGAAATAATCCACAGTAAAGCGGAACTCTTGGGTTAAACTAGAATAAAAGTAGGCTAGTTCACCTTTCTTTAGCAATAAGAATCCTTATGTAGGCAACTTGGCAATGGCTAGAAAACATGAAGGAAAACAATAAACCAGAAAAACTCAAAGGCAACTAAGTGGAAACAATGAGAGAGGAGTTCTTATGGTTATGATTATTATAGTGCTAACTACATAAGTATTGCTATTTTTCATGTCAGGGCTGTAATTACATTTGAGAATTGTGGGAGCTAGCACATATATGACTGTGGCAAAATTCAATGGTTTACAAAGTTATCAGGAGTTCACTTATCCTGAATAAGCACCTCATGGTTTAAAGTCATCTCAATTAGGAAGAGACTAGGATTAGGAGATTAGGAACTGTGCTGTAGAAGAATAAATATCTTATTGTTCCTGCATACAAAGAGAACTTGTCCCCTCCTCCTTCCTGCCAAAGAAGACTGTCTGGGTGTGCATTTGTGCACACATGCGCACAACAGACCTTAATGGCAAGAAGTGTTTGAGATGCTGCTGCAGCTGGTACAAGAACTTGCCATAAATCACTGGGATTGCATTCCAGAAGTTTCTTCAGGACAATCAAGCTATGAAATAAAATTGTAAGGTATATACCATTGTGAGGCCCTGGTCACAAATTTAATCCAGTAAACTACAGTTAGAAGGCTACTGCTGTCCTTTTTCTTGATTATTATCTATTTTTGTGGACACATATTATATAATGTGCTTAACACCATCTGTCCCATACACATTTTTGACTATCAGAAGTTGTTGCTAAAATGTTTTGCAATTTATTTCCCTTTGCATTTGCAGATTTATATAAAGCACACCATAATTGAACATAATGACAGGAAAAACAACATAAATCTAAAAATCTTATCCTACTTTAATCTTGCTAACTTAAAACTCAAAACCTTGGAGATAGCTGTTGTTTACACAATCTTAACAGAACAATCTCTCATATTGGGGAGATTAAATCAGTAAGTCTTGATCTCTATGCCAGATGTCAGCTATTTATTTATTTGAAGGGTAATCACAGTAGCACTGACAGATTCAAGCTTGTCTTGCTTCAAGAGAGATATATCTTGTCAGGGACAGACCCAACCCCCAACACCTTCACTTCATGTGAAGGTTATTTAGCTTATACGTGAAGAAGAAGCATGCATGAATGGAACTGGACATTTTAGATTGAATGGAAGAATTCTTATTTGTTGATTCCTATTTTGGTATTTATGTACTACCGTTAGTAATTCAGCTATATCATGCTTAAGTGGCATTTGGGCTCTTAAGTAACTCTGTTCTCTGCTTAGCTGGGTCTGAAGTACCTATGATCAAGTTTATAACACAAAGATATGTCTACTGACCCCCTCCTTGCATGCCCACACCAGAGCATGTCACTTTTCTTTACAGTAAACCCCAATGTGAAAGTGTTAATTTCTATTTTCTTTCTTTCTTGCACATTTGCTTCATGCTCTGGGATCTCTGGCAAGGTTTCTGATCATGATGGGTCAGAATCTATTCTGGTTAGTTGCTCTTCAAGCACTACTTTGCTCTTTCTAATTCTGCTTTAACAATTAATTGGCCAACTGCGTAATGCTTTTTCTAGTTCATTTGGATACAGTCCAGGTGTGGACATTTGATCTCTCATTTCTAGTGATCTTCAAGATGATTTGGCAATGCTCGTGAAAGCCACTCCTAATGGATTACAGGCACAGGTACTGCGTGGTCAGTATGTCTCCAAGGCATAAAAATTCACTTTTTATATAGTATATATGAATTTATATAGTGATTTTTTTTTAATCTTCTGTTACAGAAGTAAGAAATCTTTTTTATTTTTGCTTTCTTTTAAGTTGGTAAAGTTGTGGTTGCTGTTTTTTGTCTTTTCTGACAATGGAGGGGTGGCTACCAAGAACATACCCACCCTTGGCATGGATGCAGAGCTATTGCTATTTTGTCCCCTCTTTGGAGGGAGCAATGGGAGTCAATACAGATGTTCTGCACAACCTCCACAATGAGTGTTCAAGGGAAAACAGAACAGCAAAGCTATAAACTTACCTGAGCAAGACTGCAATGGTCTAAATTTACAGTAATGAGAAATTTTAATTTGATACCAGAAACTGCAAGGAAGGGATGAGGTCACATTTTGGCTAATGAATGAATGTAATATCCACTGTTGCTGTTAGGAGGCACTTGTCTAGGACTAAGGTCATTAATGTTATTTATAGTAAGACAATTACTAGGAAAAAAACCAACACGAAAGCATTGCACAACGGCAATTTACAGAACTATAGCAAAGCAAATAAACCCATACATAGTCTGGATACTGGGAGGGAGTGGGGAGGGGGATAAATTTTCTAAAGAGGACAGCTTTTTTACTCATTAATGACTATTTTTTAAGCATATATAAACCTGAAAATCTCTATTTCTAATTATTTTAGCTTTGTGTTACCAGTTCGGGGTTTTTTCCTTTGTTTAGCCCCTTCTATAAATCATATTGCCCAGTACACAAGTTCATTACATAAGCATAGGAGATATATAGTCATCTTGGTAAATTATTTTAAAGAGGAATTTCATCTGAGCCTCATTTCAAGCTCAAACATGGAAAAGTGGAGACCTTGATGAGTTACTTACATCAGGGTACTGTTTGTCCTGAATACTGACTTGAACACAGATAAATCAAAGATATTAATTTTTGGTATATTTCCACTTGTAAAATTTTCTTCTATATCTCCGTGTAAGAAAGCTAAAAATTTGCACAATACAATCTAACCCTGTGCTACTCCTAGGCCTTCTCCCAAGGTTACCTAAGTTGATCTAAAAGTCTGATGCACATAAGTACTTCAGAAACACAGTGCATTCTGAGTACCCCTCTACACCAACCTCTTCTAATACTTAGAAATAAATTTGTATAGGGACAAGGATCTCAGGTCCAATATATATAGTCTTATATGAATAATAGCAAGTAAACAGAACATTTTGTCCCTTTATGCATGTTCTCCTTCTATAAGGAGTCAGACTTGCAATTTCTATTTTAATCTTTCTTTAAAAATACCAAGTCTCAGTTCTTCAATACTTAATAATTTTTTTTCATTGATTCTCAGAGTTAATCTTCAACTTTTCATACCATATGCCCTCTTTGTATTTTGTGAGTGAGAAAGGAAATGGAGAATTTCAAGACAGGGCTAATAGTTTGCACTGAGTAGAGGTAAATGTGCATTTTGAACAACTTCAAAATATAATGAACAAATAAAAGTCTCTAGAAAAGAAAGAAAGAAAATCAGGGTTTTTTCATCCAACACCAACAATCAAATAACTATATTTGATCCTGTAACAACCTGCACTGTTCCCTCAATAGTCACGCTTGACTATTCACAACTCATGCACATCTACTTCACCACTATTTATTTATCAGAATGGAGGCAATTGAAGAGAATCATCACTATGAAATAATAAAATATCCTCGGGAAAAAATTCAAACCAGAGAATAAGATTCTTGGTTTCTTTGTGATAATATAGCTTCAGAAATGATTTCATGGCTTTATTTGAAAAATGAATATAATCCAAGTGAAGAGATACAATTCCTCTTTCTGTACAGCCAGAAACACATTATCCTTTTAAATAGAAAACAGTATCCATTTCTTTCTCTTCCTACCCTCACAGAAGGGAAAAAGAGGGGGAAAATCAGATATAGAGTAAAACCCCTCCTTTCATTTGCAAATGGTGACTCTTGCATCAGTACTATAACATGCAGCTGCATAGGTATCAACATTATTTTCTTAGCTTCTCAAACAATCCCTGCATTTCATATTATATTTCTACAATGATGACAGTTGACAGGCAACATATAAAGTCTTTCTGAGACCTTTAACACATTAAGTATGCTATAGGCACATCAGGCTCAAAAAAGAATGAAAAGAAAATAACACCAAAAAATTCCGCAAAGCCTTGCAAAAGAGCTTTGCTTCATCAGAAGCCACCGCTGGAGCAGCATGCTGGCCTGTGGGCTCATGGAGAGAGGACCTCAGGCTGGAGATGGTTAGTTGTCAGGACTTGTGTCCCCACAGGGGAAGCCATGCTAGAGCAGTCTGGCTACTGGAACTTAAAGGCCAATTTCTAGTTTTATGGTAAAAACATCACACCTGCCTTCAAATCAATAGGACTACATTCACACTTTTTCACTGCTTGCTACGTGAAGTCATCTTTGTGTTTCAACTTGACAGGTTTAATGGAATATCTAACATTGATATGTCATAAAGCTAACAGTGACTTGATAGAAGACAATAGCACAAGCACAGGCTCCCACCCTGTTTTAGGATTAGGCAACATGAAGTCTACTGACAGACTTTGGGGGGCTGATAAACAGTAATGTATGAGACAGAAAGAAAAACTCATGCTTAAATATCTTGTTTCCCATCACAGAAGTGCGAGTGATAGAGAAAGCAGGGAGTATCTCATTCAGTGAATCCTGACTTTTTACTGCTAAAATTTTTTTGTTGACAGAGCTTGTAAATCTTGAGTTCTGGGAAGAACCTTACACATTTGAAGAGTGTTACCACTACAAATGAGGCATTTAGCATTTTCAGAATTTTTGTAATACTTAGCTAGCAACTATTGATTAAACATTTGAATAGGCAGCCAATTTTACACATTTTCAAACTATGAGTGTTTAACTAAAAAAACAAAATTCCATTGTTTAAAATACATTGAGGGTTTTGTGATCATCTGGAAAAAAACAGTGTGATAGCTACCTTGCATCACTGAGGCTTACGGACATTTTACTCTGCTTTATTGCCAGGATTAGGTTTTCAGCAATTTTCACTGTATTGTTTGCAAACCAGACATAGTAAGAATACACTCTTCCCAAGGAAGATTAGTAAACAGGCAATGCTTCAGTTCACTTCTTCAGAGAGAGGCATGACTTACCTTGTGGAAGTTCCTGAAATATGCTGCCTTCTCATCTGGAAATTTTTCTAGCCTCCTGGGTCCTTTACTGGAAGCCTTCTTGAAAACCAGCCAACAACGCCTAAAAATCTGTGAACAAAATCAATGAATTCTATTACTTTTTCTTTAAAGGTGGATAGTATTACAAATGTATTCAGTTACAGAATTGACTTAGGAAGAAATTTTGATATGACAGCGTTTTACTTCAAGAGTAAAATTTGCAGTTCAAAGAGAAGCTGATTAACGATAATCCTCTAGACTATATTATGCAAGTGAGAGATTAGATATCAATCTAGTTTTATAATCTATGACAGCAGTTTACTTCATTATTCTCACCAGTACTTGGACAGCTCTATAAGCAATACCATGTGGAATTTCATGTTATTAATTCAAGAATACATTGAAAAAAGTCCCAAACCCAATACCACTCAATGATTCCACTGGCCATATGTGAAGAGCCTTAATTCAGTACCAATTCTACACAATTTAATGACACAGCACAAGAAATACAGTACTATTAAATTTGGATCAACCATACCTCCCATTACCAAAAAACTAAATAATTAAAAAACCCAAGGAAATTAGAGCAGGCAGAGTTTTCCCCTCAGTCTGCTATCCAAACCGAACACAAGCAGAAAATGTAGTGTAGTAGCTTAATGTAGTGCTTAAAATAATTAAGATTAAAATAATTAAGCTTAAGTAACCATTTTATGACATAATACTACTGACATTATCCTGTTGCCACTATCTAAGATGAATGCTATCAGTCAAAGTGTTTTCTTTCAAAACCCTGCCATTGGGCTACTGTATCAATAAGTTTAATTATGAACACTTTTAGAAGAAAACATGATACATCATTAAATCCTCTGCAAGTATACAACTTACAAAGTGTAGAACTTTTAGGCTTTTTTTACTAAGGTTGTAAAGTGGCAACTGTACAACTGTGCTTTCTATCTCAGAAATTACTTCACCTATCCTGAGGGAAAGTAAAGATGATATTATATTTCCTGAAAAAAAAAAATGACATTACACTTTGGGACATCATAAACCATCTTTATTAGATAGTACTTTCTTCAAATAACATCTTGGCAGTATTGCAACTTGACTTTACCAAAACTACAGCACTGCTCCCACAGTTATTTCTTGATTAAACATATTAGTTTAACACAATTTTGTAATGTGAAAAGCTCCAGACACAAAGATATAGAATATTCCACTATTTTGACCTTACTAAAAAACAGCAGCACCAGCTGTCTGAAAGGGACATATTCGTTTATTTACTAAAAGTGTCACTTTTAATAATACTTCTGGCTCTTCTGGGATCTTGGGTGGTTTTTTTAGTCTATGTGTGTATAGTTTTAATTCATTTCTCATTCGCTGAGGAAAGTCTTTTCCTAGGAAGTTCTTTATGAAGGTAAAACCCACTATCTTAATTTCAAATGTTTTCTCAATTTCCTTATTTTCAGTATATGCCTTTAATGTCATACAGTCCTCAAAAAATTCTCTTTAGAAAAGTCAGACCAACCCAAGTCATCATCTTCATGTGGGTTTTAGCATAGCCATGGAATTTACATTTTACAGATGATCTGAATTTTTGACAGCTGGTGACAATGAAACCGATAATTTGTGTTGATTAACAGAAGTATTTCAAAGGTCGGTGGAGTTTTTTTTTTTTTTTTCTTTGTTTGTGTTTTTTAAAATATATTTTTATATATGTATGTATGTCATATATATATACATATATATGTATACATATATATACATATAGATGTATACATATATATGTATATATGATATATATTTATATATATACACATATATAGTCATATTTCATTGCAATGAGAAGTATCAGTTAGATCCAGTACATTAGAAATATCCCTATAAAAGGCAAACTAAACATCACAGTCATGGAGTCAGACCTTTCCTTGTGAGGATGAGAACATTTTCTAGCTCAGAGGTCATCTAATGCATACTCCAAAGCACTTCCTTTAGTGACAAATGAGCAGGTTCAGATAAATGATGGCTTCAGTCTTTTTTTCACTGTATATCAAGTTGAGACAGGGTGGAAGTGAATTTGAGGTTTTGCAGATAAGCTGATGAAATTCTAGAGGAAGGGTTTGACCTCCTTATTACTGGGAACTACCATCAAATACCAGGGCTTGATGCTAGTTATCTTTAAGGATGCTCCTCATCAGGCCTTCTCACACATTTCAGAATCGAGATGAATTCAAAGGGTTCAGCATACAGACTGCAGGAATGAACAGCCTTTGCTTTTAGAGAACATTGAATAACAAGAGGAGAGAAACGTAAGTTTGTCCTTTAGATTGTAACTGCTTCAATTTATTGGCATTTGTTTTTTCCAGATCTTTAAGAAGAGGAGAGATCTGAAGAATGAAATGGCCCAAAGAGGACTCCTGATAGTCTATGTACTCATGTCAAGATACATCCTTGCATTTGGATTTTATTTTTTGCAACCTAATTTTAAAGCTGGTATATACATGTACAGTTCCATTGCATTTCAGCAGCATTTTACCTTATTATGCCAACAGACACTTTGTATCTTAGTGCTTGGAAAAGCATTAGCATATGAATTTACCTATAAATATGAATAAATAGGTACAGATGTGAGCACACAGCAAACAAACATTTGCCTTTCATAAGGCACCTCATTGTTATACAGAAGCCTACTCAATTATTCACGAACTGTGAAATACTCTTTTATCCCTGGCCTACTTTAGGATGCCATTGGCTGTAATCAAAACTTCTGAAAGACTTCTAAAGTCCTCAGATAATTGGGGAAGCCATTGTGAGAGAAATCAGCATCAGGCCCTCCAGAACAGAGGGAATTAGAACCACTCACTGTGTTGTCTCCATAATATTTAGTATTTCCTGTGAGACTGTTTTCCACATGTGCTTAGTTGAAGAAATGCCAAATATTTGATCATTTAATCAGGGTTACATCCTCAGATGAGCATTCACTGTTCAACAAATACGATTTTAAAATTTTGTATCAAGGGCAAACAACGCAAAGTATGCCCCATGCCATTGCATTTTTTACTGGAGCAATTGAGGAAGATGGCATTAAAAACATGCTGGGTTTAGGTTTTCTTTTATTACTGCATCAATTAGAAAAAACTTGTTCATTACAATCTTGAGAAGGATTCTATTAAAATTACCTGCAGAACCTTAGGCATAGCTGAACCTCTTTGAACAACATCCTTCCTATCTCAGTTTTACAAGATGGGCAAAGCACAATAAAAAATATTTTTCCAGATTCTATTACCCAGGATGTTGTGCAATTATGTATCAGTAAGCCACAGCAATAACTCAGCACACTCGTGGTCTGGTGAGAACTGATTAGTTGCCCCTTGCGATAGCACATGGGAATGATTTTGATTACAATGTACGAGCTCGCGGGGGAGAGGAGCCTCTTTCCACAAGATGGAACCTGAGCAGCCTCATCTTGTTACTGAGATAATTCCAGAACCTGGAACAGTATTACCTTATCACACCCCCTCAAATGATTTCTGAAATCTTTCCAGTTAGAAATTTGACTTCTAATGCTGATACATTTCTACTAATCTTCAGAGATGTTTTATTTTATGTTTTACTTGAAAAACTGCAACAGACCAATTAATTATGAAATCTCTGCATAATCTTATTTTGATATTTTTCTTCTTCTTAATATAGTACACTGCCCAGCTCACATTTCCAGCATGATCATATTTTTTAATATTCTTGATTAATATATGCAAAAATTTGGCCGCTGAATGGGCCATTACTTTTCATGATCACATCATACAAGTCTGTGTTATTGTTGCCATGGCTGTTCATAACAAATCTATTAAAATACATATTGCAGGAAAACCACTGGCTAGATTTTTTTTCAGAAAGAAGGAAATATTTTCCTCTTTTCTAAAATAATTTAAAATAATTGGTTTATAGTGGAAATCTTATGTATGATTTTCCATTTTCCAGAGATTTCTAAGACCTTTTTCCTAGCCATTTACAATAAATGCTTTTAAGAATCACATTTCTTTTTATCCACAGCTGTAGCAAATAAAGCTTTCCCAGTCATCACTAATACTTAAAGAAGGGACTTTTACTGACAACTTTCTACACATTAATCCAGAAATTTCACACTCAAACAATCCAACAGAAAACAGAACCAACAACAACAACAAAAAAATCCCCCATGTTTTTTTTTTAATAAAGCTATAAGCTTTTTTCCCAAATCAATTTAGATGCTCTGAAATCTCCCCACACTTATCCAAAGGACAGTGCAAATGGCAGCTTTCTTGGGTATATTGGAAAACCATCTAATTTTCTGCCACTATCTGTAGAAACATTTGTCTCTTGAGAGAAACAGCAATGAGTCAGCTCCTAATTACTAACAGAAACCATCACTGACCAGGACAGGCACTGAAGCATCATTCATGGAGCTTTTTGCTAGCATAACCTATCAAATTTTCTTCCAGGAAGACAACAACATAATAATATTCAGTTCTGCATTTACATCTCATTATCTGCAGGAAAAGGCTAGTTGATTTCTCATCCCTGACTTGCCAAGTGCATTGCTTTCCTGTTTGACAACACCTGCAGTATATGCATTAAAAACACTAAAACATGAATGTGTTCAAGTTTACCTCTCTAGTTATCTCCTCTAAAAATGGATGTTTCTATGGGGTATGCGAGAGGAATGCAGTTCGTTGTGAGATTAAAAAATGTAGTCACAACTTAAAAATAAAGCATTCATAATAAGAAAAATAAAAATAGTTGTCACTGTAAAGTCATATTTAACCATTGTTTTGACACCCACTATTTTTTGATTCTGTGCATAATTTGGCTAAGGAAGAAGAGACAAGAGGTGACACCTTACTGCTTGAGTGAAACTGCACTTGTCACACATTCAAGTAAAACTTAGGAGAAAATGAAACACAGTTATTATGTATAAAAAGGCCCAGGAGGAAAATGGGGATCCATACCTCAGCCTAAAGAGCAAGTTACAGAATCTAAGCTACTGCTGAGTCAATTCAATAGAAAAAAAACTGCCTGAAACTCATGGTTGCAATCCACTTTTCTGAACTACC